CACTTCGTCACACCATCGATCATCTTACTAGTAGACAGGGCTGCACACAAGCACAGTTTCCACAAGTTCACACCGCTACTACAACTACAACTACTAATCTCACAGCAGAAGTCTCCTCGAGCGGTCTACGCACAAATTCATACCTCGTCACTGTACCCCTATATCTACACCAATTCCATCCTCCATAATCATACCATAAATCACCACCAAAACCTCGGCGGCGAGCTACCACCTCCCATCTCCCCTACTACCCATCTCCTCTTTATCACACTTCTCCTCCTTCAATTCGTTCACCACGTCAAACCAGCAGTCCTCGAACATCCGATCGAGCCTCTCGAAATCCGTCTATACGAACCAACTCCACCACCCCAACTGCACGCCAGCTACTACTTCCCATATCGTGGATGGTACCCTTGTAGAGTTCCTAGTAGGTGATGCTGTTGAATTCATTCTGCCACCACCAACTGACGATCCTTCCAAACCTGCATGCACATGATCAACTACATGTGTGACCGACAATATGAGATTTCTGGACACTGGTTTCTCTACATTTCTACCAACAGCGATAAAACTGCTGAGCTCAGTTGAGGAAAGTGAACATATATTCCTCCAAAACCGCCCGACACATCCCACTCCTCCTCCAACTCTTACTAGGTGCCGAATCAGACATCCTGTCAACATCAGAGGGCTCCGTGCCAGCTTGCCGACTCCCGCCGTACCTATTCCGAATCATACCATCACCAACCTACACATACAGTACGCGCCATCTAGCGATCGAAAATACGTATGCAAAGGTAACCTTTCCTACTCAACGACTTCCAAGCTACAATTTTGGAATATGAACCCCCTTATATTGCACTATATATTATTATTATATATTATATATACCATATACACATATACACATATACACAATACACTATATATGATATTGCACCATATATTGCAATATATTATATTGCATATTGACCGCACTCGATTTTCGAAAACAATTTCGCACGATTTTGCCCCTATGCCCTCCGGAATTCTTTCCACACATAACACCATAAAGTAAATCGTCTTTACCATATCACCAACCCTCCCCCTCCAACTCACGTAGCGGCAATAACGATTTGCATAGAATTCATCCATTTCCGCATCTCTGGCACCGAGGGCGCCCTCATATAGTAAACATTTTCATCTGTCACCAAAATCACAACCAATGACCCTTCGGAAACACTCACTATAAATGAGATTGAAATCAGCGCTATTGGGATCTTCCGACTCGGCCTTCTCCACGTTACTAATACACAAAAAATATTTGACAATGTGAAAGTTGCATAAACTCTCCAATACCTCGCCTTAGACAAATCAAACGTTTTCTTCGCCAGATCCGCCGGCCCCGGTGCACTCAGATACCCCAAGTATTCCCCATCCAATATAAAATACCTGGAAAAAATTTCCCATCCATAATCGTCCATAAAATAACTTTCCCCCTACCTTTTCTGCCACCGTTTTACCGTCCCCGAACTCAACTTAGAAAGGTACCCCTCCATATGCACGCCACCGATCGATGCCTTAGCCTCGTCCTTATCAACAGATTTCTGACCAACAACAATAATAACCATCCCAATGCTCCTTCCCCCCCTCCAATACTACCACAACACCACCCACTGGGACTTTCTCCTCACACGGTTTCAACTGAAAATGATCAAACTCCACGACGATTCACAACAGCATCTACTACGGCAAGAACCTCCGAGTTTTCATCCGGGAAAAACACCAAGAATAACAATACTCCGTCACATTCGAGAGCAAAAACACCACCACGGAAATACTAATCCGAAATTGCATTCTCGAAATTACTCCACGTTTCGAACAACAATAACTCGATAAAACAGAGCTCATGATGGTAGTGTGCCTACAGGGTAGCAGTCCAACGAAACTCCCCCCCCCCCTAGTATCGGGTTTATCCCTAGTGAACTAAACCTATTACACATCTATTACGATGCACTCTGATGGATACTATATGAGAATCTTCTGAGTGCGGTGTCGCCGCCGCCGCCCGTATAGTCCACGACCGATCCCCTCTTTATAATACCGCTCGTGTTGTTGCAGCACTATCAGCAGGCAGCCTCTCCTTCTCCTCCTCCTCCTCCTGAGCCTTAGCATCCTCCTTAGCACGCGACCTCGTAAACCACCTTAGCCCTGGTGAAGGCGAGCGCTGACTACCTGTGGGCAACGATATGAACGTCATCATCCGTAGTACGTAGGTAACTACACTTTTGTGAAAGCCAACTATTTCACGACTAAAAACTTCAATTTCACAAGCACGTGTGCCCACAGACCCCGAGAAGTGCCGCTTTCAACACCATGTGAATTCGCAAACCTCAATTTCTAAACATTTACTTTCCACCTAATACGCCATCATATGCTACCGTATCAACAACTATATACACCCCGACACTTTTCACGCGCCACAAAATTACCACCATCATCCTAGGTATACTACAGTCCCCTACTCCGCGCTCAATAGATGTCCCCCTCACCCTTACGACTAGCAGCTGAGCCAACGTCCCTCCTACACGATGATGGTCGCCGATCCTGATTGCCACTCGAATGGGGTATTGGAGGCTCTGATAAAAGCAATACAGATGGCTGCAGCTACCAATACTACTATTACTGGTTTCATCTACTACAGTAGGGCGATTCGACGGGGTCTGAAAATGGAGGAGTATGCACATGGACAACTACATGTGTGGATGACAATCTGATAATTTTGAAGAAAATTTTCATTGGTTTTCGTACACTTCTACCCTAAATCGTATGTAAACTCCTATCATTAGCGAGGAAACCCCCGAGCTCAACTGAAGAGAGCGAACATATATTCCTCCAACACTGAGGATGATAATGAACACTTGTATAAGGTTTCCCCACATACATACCCCCACCCTCCCACGTACCCTATGCGTAGCCCTCTTGGCTAGACGACGATTTAGGGCTGCCCGCAGATCCTCATTATTATTCGATACCGACATGATACTTAATAAACTACTACTACTACTAGTACTACTAGTACTACTAGTACTACTAGTACTACTAGTACTACTACTACTACTACTACTACTACTACTATACCATACCATCCTCATCATTCGTTTATATATACTGAACTCCAACACTTCCCTTCGAAACAGACCTATAGACCAACAACGTGTTGAGGTTGAAAACTCCCTTCAGAGGAGTATTCTAACTCTGTAGCTTCACCAGAAATACGCAATAAACCATCTCCCACTACCCCAGTTAGTAGATGCTATACTCAACAGACAGAGTAGCAGAGATATTTGGTAAAAATAATGAACAAGGACGTGGTGCCCTGTTCATCTGTGTGTGGAAAAGTATGCACATAGTCAACTACAGTTGCTGAGTGAATAAAATTCCGAGGTGATTCGTGTCGGTGAGCCCCCACGCCTACACATGTGGACGACACTATGAAAATTCAGTGAAAATTTTTTGGAGTTCTCGTTAGTTTCTATACACTTCTACCCTAATCCGTATATACAAACTCCTATTACTAGCTTTAGAAACTCCCAAGCTCAGTCGAAGAAAGCCAACATATATTCCTACTCCATCACAACACTTTCCGCTACAACAACACAGTAATTACTAAAATCTTGGTCACTTACTATATCTTGCAATTCCTCAACGGCAACGTATGTGAATATCACTGAGATCATGCTTAGTTGCTCCACAGTGGTGGGTGTTGGGAAGCGAGCTGGACGAGGAGCTCAACGGAGAGCGTGGTCCATCTCGGATATGGTTAAAATAGTAAACGCCTCCTATGTAATGCTTAGAGGCTTTCTCAAATGTCTGCACTATAGTCGTTGTATATAAAGGCATTATAATGGTGACTTTATAAACAACTATAATCACGATACGATGCTCGACCAATCATCTTACAACACACCCTGTAATTTTCTACCACACTTGTATCGTATTTCAGCATTGACAATCTACTCTCGTGCTGAGTTTGACACATTCCTGTTAACATAGGGACTAGATGAGAGAGAGGACGGTAGGTCGTGGTTGATGATGATGATGATGATGATGATGATGATGATGATGATGATGATGATGATGATGGTGGTGGTGGTGGTGGTGATGATGATGATGATGATGATGATGATGATGATGATGATGATGGTGATGATGATGATGATGATGATGATGATGATGATGATGATGATGATGATGGTGATGATGATGATGATGGTGGTGGTGGTGGTGGTGGTGGTGGTGGTGGTGATGATGATGATTTTTCTTGTGGAAACGGAATTATACACGTTTGACATGTTAGATTATACGAGTGATGATGATGATGATGGCTATACTTACTTGTTGGTATGCAGACGCCAGTGTGGGGGGAATATGCATATGGCTGAGTACATGTGTTGGTGACAACATGAAAATTCTGAGGAAATTTCGTAACGTTTTCACTGATTTTTGTACATTTCTACCCTAAATGCTGCGGGAACTTCTAAAATGTAGCTTTGGAATCTTCTGAGCTCAGCTGAGGAAAACGAACATATATTCCTACTCCAACACTGGTAGACTTCGTCGAGAAATCAATCGGTGATGTCTACTATCCATACCTCTGAGTGCAGCTATTTTACATCTCGGAATTAACGCGACCAACCTCATTACGAAGTAACTCCTCATCAACTCTCGAATGGTCAAATCGTGTCTAAAACTGTGTGTTTATAGTAATATCGATGGTAGTTTCTACTTCGTTATTATGGATCTCAAGAATCCGTTTCGGAGTATTAACTTCAGCCATGGTAAACTGAAGTTGACCAAGAAGGATCTTCTCACGTGGCAAGTCCGGGCAAAACTCGCAGGTGTGGCGCTCGTGGTAATTTCTTGAATAATAATAACTTCATACCACTCCTCCGTCACATCGTAGGCGGTAGTCGCTACTAGTGTTGCTGGTCTGGCGGTCCATAAGAAGCGACGAACAGATCTTCGAGGAGAGCGGCCTCAGCCCTCTTTTATGGACTCCCATAGTAGGTCGATATTCATGTGAATTGTTGAAGTCCTCCAATCCAACAGCCCTACGAGCGGACACCGACTTGTCTCGAAGTCACTTGCCCTCATATAGGACCGTATGGAGCTCACTAGCCGTAGTGAATCCTCATAAAACTGAGTGAGTAGTAGCAACCTCCTGGAGGTCCCGGGTTCGATCCCTGCCGTTGTCATTTTAAGTCCGCATGATCTCCTTACTCGTGTAAGGAAGGCCAATATAGTATGTGGTGGCTGCGAGGCGCAGATGTTGAAGACTGAGCGTGTGAGTTCACACATTTCCAATTCCATCTCTGCCATTTATCCCAGATCTTGCATATGGTAGCCAACGCTATAGTCTCTCGAGGAGAGGAGGACTCCGGACCTGGTACCACACAATGACATAGCCGATGTCGATTTGCCCTTCCTCAGCCCTCAGTCTGGCCGAACGCGTCCTCAACAGGGCAGCGGTGAGCGAATTCCCATTGCTATCAGCAATACGTTGGGATAAGCTCAGGAAGGAAGCCCGGGGGGAAGGGATCGGTAGAGGCCATCGAATCCACAATCAACGGTTTTATGGTGTTGGTGGCAGGGGAGACCTTGCAACGCCTCAGGATAGAGGTATATGATCTGCTGGTTCGACGTTGGGCTGAAAACAAGGTTTTCGATCCTATTTTTCGAAGAGTGCCGAGAAGCATAGACGGCAGTGTTATGTGAGTACTTCTGTACCGTCTACACAGTGTGGGAAATATGCGCATGTGTTGGTGACAGGA